GAAAAAACTTTAAAGATAAGCTTGCACCCATGTGCATTTGTCCAATTCTGGACAGATTAGGCAGTTAGGCATCTACCCTAACATTTTGGTACATGCGCTAATGTCTACCGTTGTGTAAGAGTAGGTTAAAGCATTAAAAGCGAAATACATAGGCATCGTGCGTTGAGGTGATAGTCGTTGTAACGTTATGTTGCTGGTGACGTGCGCTGCTGAGTGTCGAGCCAGGCTCATTGACTTGAGTTTGTGATGAAGCGCGGCCACTTATCACTTGGATTACTTGGATTTGTCAAAGTGTACTGAAGGGTTTTGCTGTTGGCCTCAGCCTAATAGCTGCACAATTCCGGTGGTGCCAGGTTGAACAATGTTTTGTCTCAAGGGCGGCGCCACCGTGGGGGCAGTGGGGGCAGACTGCCCCCACTGGCAGGAGGCCGTGGGGGCAAGACTATGTTTTTGCCCCCACAAAATTTGGCTGATGTATGGGAACAGAAGACCGGTGCAACATTCATTATAGGCGGTTATAATAGTACGCCTGTTTTTTACAGTCCTCGTATCAAGTGCGTCAGCAGAACGTTCGTTCTCGGACCGTCTGTCGCATATCTCCTACTCTCACTCATTCTCCTACTCATTTTCATTCACCAAAAGGCTGCCCTCGAGCTTGATCTCGAGGAGGTTGTGAAGCAGTTTATCAAAAGTCGGCCAGAGAAGAGATCACCCTCTTTTGGGAACCCTTAGACTGAGACTGAGCTCAGAGAGGTATGACAAAATGTGATAGGTATGTATATCCCGGGTTATCTGGAATTGTATGTGGGTCGCCCTAATGGAGCTTATTCTCGTACCTATATCAATCGTATGTGAGAGAATCGCACATATATACGTACTACGGGGAAAAGGAGAAATAGGTACTGACTATAGTTTTGAGGAACACACCATTTTACATCTCAACGAACAACATAACGTTTTCACAGGTTTGTGTCTCGCAATCTAGTTTTATAGTTTTATTTCGGCCGGGCCCGGGGTAATCCTAACCGTACCGCAGCCCGGGGTAGCCCTCCCCCCTGTTTAACTCCGTTAATAAGGCAGCTACGGAAACAAAAATGGTGCCAGACGAAAAGTATCCATGAGAAGATTCTAAAGCACCTAAACTTTTTGACCTCAGGTCAGTTTTCAAGGTCAGAATTCAAGGTCAAAGGCAAAAAACCGGCAATTATGTAGTGGTCTCAAAGTACGTGTTCCAGACTCCAGAGGACGGCATGGTGCATAAAATCGGCTAAAAGGGATGTTGAAAAAAAGAAGAGGATTCCGATGATGTGCATAACATTCAAATTCAAGGTCACGATCATGCTCAAAATTGACCACAAACTTTGCACTTTTTCTTATATCTTGTATATTAAATTCCGAGATGTTTTGATATGTTTTCAAGCTTAGCGGACTCTTATTTGTGCTTTTGCTTACGATACAAGGCTGCTACAAGGTCAAAGTCACAAGAGAGTATCCTTGCTAGAGGTTATTTCACTATTCAAGTCAGGCATAATAATTAAGACATGTTTTGCCATACTGAGGCTCTAAATGAATGCTTACAGCAAAACGGATGCCAGAGGCCCAGAATCGTGATCAGCGGCTACGAAATGGCATCACAAATGACCTTCCATGTGTAAACAATCAACCAAATGTCATTCGAGGTCACATGACGTCAACATAAAACTTGACCTTTTCCAAACAATATATATGTCATTCGACGCGTCCCGACAAGACTAATGCGAAGGTACCACTGCCGTAGCTCCAGGACCATTTTTGTTGAAGTTCATGCGAATAAAGAAACTAAAGCCCCAGCTCGGGGTCGTTGCCCTGACCTCTGACCTCAGGTCACCAAAGTTACTTAAGTATTTTTTTCTAGGTCAAATGCTACACAACCGTGCTCGTAATTTGTCTTTATCTCTAAAACTCAATTTTTGGCAGCTGGATGAAGTTCACGTCTGTGACGCCGAAGTTTGCCGCGCAGGAGTCTAGAAAAATCGGCCCTGAGACATTATCAAGGAGGCTAGGTCCAATTTTTTTGCTTCAAAAGATGTCAAATTAATGGGGGATAAGGTACAGCAAGTTTCGTCCTTCTATCCCTAAGCGTTCGTGAGGTATCGCAAATATTCGCCAGGGGGAGGCGAAAAACGCCCCCCCCCCCTTCCGGGCCCGCGAGGGTTAATGGTTAAACTCAATACGCCTATGCATGAAACCTGAAACCAAAATAATTTTGAATGGCAACATCTAGGGACAAGGTGCTAATGGATTTTGCAGATCGGCGTTATCAAACAACAGTCGGGTTCGGGTCAGTCTCAAGCTTGCCCCCACTGGCGAAAATTCGTGGCGCCGCCACTGTTTTGTCTCTAACTGAAGCTCCTCGGACATTTGGTAGCCGTTACTGGACAGGTACTCTTAAAAGTCTGCTTTCGTTATCACTGCACCCAATGTTATCATTCAACTTTTAAAAACTTTGCCCTTTAATTAGCTCGCCTGAAGAAATAGTTGACTTAGACGGTAATCTTTTGACTTCTTACTATTTTAAGTTAGAACTTGTCCTTATGAAGTGATCGACACACGGTCATTTTTCTGTTATCGCCGTTAGATAAGCTGTCTGTAAAAACGCTCATGATCGATCATCAATGAGGCTTAATTATGATCAAAGTCGACTTCATTTTGAGAATACTTGAAGCATTTGCGCAACTGAATTCCTTCTTGGACATGATTCATACCTACGCTTAGATTGTGGTGTAAGTGACGAGACCGCTGTGTTTGAACTACAAAGTGTACCCTATCAAACCCATATACCTAAAACTGCCAGATTTTCTTTATCTATCATTGTTTTATTTGTTCGATAGGACCACCGACACACATTTTACATATATAGGTCCCAAAAGACTTTCTTATCATCTTCTAACATCAGCGTTCCTTATAACCAATACATACACACATATACGTCATTTTGTACATATGTCAGTAAGCACCAAATTCGGTCGTAGTGGGCCCAAAGATGGCGGGTCGTCACCAGACACAGACATATGTACAACACCGAACTGGCACATACACACACGCACAAAGCTGTCACTGAACGGCCAAGAAATACTATACTCTAGTCTAGTCTACAACAAATATCACATTGGGAAAATAATCAGACTGGCAACGGTCTCTGGTTTCACCACGGTCGGGCACCTCTAGAGTCGAGCACACAATACGAACGCCCTATCCAGAGTTCGATAGAGTAGCATCTGGGAAATTAATATCACATGGTATAGGGGTTATTCAGACGGCACTGGGCACCAGCTCTGTCCATACGGCCGCCTTGGCCAAATAAATAGTGTTGCGGTGCACCCAGTCTGCCGTCTAGTCTCTGGCTGGTGATCCAGCTACCTCTCGGCAGCTCAGCACCAGCACCAATGACGGCGTCAGATGCGTCAGCGCCAGATTCAGTTGCGTCAGCGCCAGTGGTGTCAGCGTCAGCATCAGCATCAGCTCCAGCATTAACGCCGGCAGCGTCAGCCAGCGCGACGTCAGCACCACCACCGGCGCGCACGGACGCGGTATCGGTCCTACAGCTCTCACTGCTGCTCAGGCTTATCAGCAGCGTCGACGTCGATGTTCTCGTCGTCCGACTCCTCGTAGGTGAGCAGACTGTCGGTCTGATCGTCGGCGGCGTCGGCGGCGGCGGCCGACGCGCCTGGGGACTTGGTCGGGCCGCCCTCCTCGTCCTGCACGCGCTTGTGCTTGGTGCGTCGGTTCTGGAACCACACTTTGACCTGGAACAGACCAAAGAGGCGTCGTTAGCGAGTGGCGTCGACCCGCTTCCGGCGCGCCATCATCGTCAGCGACGCGATCGTTCCGCCATTATGTGGGACGTGCTCGTCGAGCCCGTCGATTTATGATAGCGCCGGCAGCTGGATGGCGGCCTATTCTTCGGCACCATTCTCCCCGGGAGAACATCCTTTCGGAATCGGCCTAATGGTTTTTATCTCATTTATCGCCGCCGGCATGGATCTCGGCGCTGTCGTTAGTTTTATTAGACTATTTGCTCGTTCTTTGCGGCGATAACGGCGCACTCGGACGCTAAAATGGCCGCCGACGTGGCGCGACGATTCATATGTGGCGCGCCGATCGGCGGCGTCGCAGATTACTTTGGGCGGCTTTAGGGTCCCCGAGTGGCGGCCGGCCCGCAGTGGCGCGCCGCTCATGTGGAATGCATGAGCCGTCATCGAATGCCACCGGCTGCTGAGCGGCTGCTGACGGTCCGACCGGGAGCCGAGAGCGCTGCTGGACATCGACAGCCCGACCGGCGGTCACACACCAACTGGCGGCCACAGACCACAGAAACAGACACAGGAAACAGACACAGTGCCACTGTGTCTGTGATATAGGGAGCCGAGAGCGCCACGAGAGATAGACAGCCCGACCGGCGCGGCGGTCACAGACCAACAGCCGGCGGTCACAGACCAACAGGGTCACAGACCAACTGCCGGCAAAAAAAAAAGAACGCCACGGAGGCACGCACAGTCCACAGATCATAACTGAGCCTTCTGTGAGACTGTGCAGTGTGCGTGTCTGTTTTACGACACTCCCCCCCCCCTCCCCATGAGTTAGCCCTACTAGCAGCCAGCCCATCCCCGACTGCTCTTCTCACCTGTGTCTCAGAGAGGTTGAGCGCCTGCGCCAGCTGCTTGCGCTCCTGGCCCACCACGTAGTGATTGTTCTCGAAGGCGTGCTCGAGCTTCAGCAGCTGACTCGGAGAGAACGCCGTCCGGATCCGCTTGGGTTTCCGGAAGGGCTGCAGGAGAAACGCAGGAAACTCGGGACCTGCGGGAGAACAGAGAGAAGGGTCAGACGCATGGAACAAACACTGGCTTTATGGGTACAACGGGTGGGGGGGGGGGCTGTTAACGGGTGTCATATCACATCGTGACACAGTGTTGACATGAATGTCACGACTGCAAACGTGACACATTCTTTGTGTTGCACAGCTACCGGATACACCGAGGGGAACAACAGGCGAATGAATGAAAACGAAGCTCTGACTGTCGGGCGATATGTCAACTGCCACAGGAAGACCGCAACAATGGCGACACCATCCACAGGTGAGTAACCGGCGCTGCACAGTCGCCGTACCGTTAATTAGCGCTGCTACTGTCGGTTCTCCGGGTTGGTATGCCCGCCTGGCCGGGTGGGTTGCCATGAGGCCCTGCTCGGCGGCTGCTGCCGCTCGCCGCGTCTCGATCGCGTGACGAGACCCATCGGCAGCCAGCTGAGAGCCATTTGCATTATACTCGCTCGTCCCATTCTCAAACACCCCATGGTCTTTTTCTCAATGTGACGAGAATAAATCACTTTGAAGACACGAGTGGTTAAATAATTGCCTGCATGAAGCAACAAAGGCGAATTAGCTCCCAGTTTGTAATGTTGCGTGCTATTATACCTTCTCTGTGCTCGCGACTTGTGTGGATCATGAAGTAATTTGCAAGGTTCACAGCCGTGCCGGGGGAGGTGGTTCTCCCGGCAGAACCGACCCGGGATGGGCGTCCACTGACGGTCGCCGACGTCGGCCGACCGTCGAGCGTCGCTGAGGTCCGGCTATAGTCGGCACCGACGGCCGATTCAGCGCTCCGTCGCCGCTCCCCGGCGCCATCCGAAACGGCTCAGCCATTCGCGCTGCAAATTTGACGACTTATCTAGGATCATTTTAAACGTCCTATGTCTTGATGGTGATGACTTTATGGGCCATTTTCGTTGATAGAAGACTATGAGCATTTTATGGCCGCAGGAAATCGCCACATTGGGGGACGTTCCGCGGAATAACAGCCTTATTCGGCCAAATGGCATGAGCAGTCACCGGCTCTAACTTATGACTCAGCACTGTCGGCCAATATCGTGTGGATTTAAGACGTGCGGCCGGCGCCGCACATTGGGTCCGTGCCCCATCAAACGGTTACCATGTCATTTGTCAAATTTCAATAATAATTAAGTAATGTTTCCACCACAAAACTGGTTGGCTGAGGCGGTGCTGGCACGAGAAGGCCGTGTTGAACTTCCGCGAAGTGACGAACTCATTATTAAACGCATGGATTATGCAGCGTAATTTTCGCCATCGACAACAGCCTTTGAGGTTGAAGCGGGACTGTTTCCGTGCAGCTGAATATACCATGAGAATTAGATTTTTCGCGACCGCGAAGCTTCCAATTCATGAACATAACACCGAGGAGGTGTTACTTTTTGAGAAAAGACAAACCCAGTTACGCGCTCTAATATTCCTGTTACATTCCTTGGCACGTCATAACAACCCGTTACTTCAAATGTGATTCTGACACGTCTTACCGAGATCATTACCGCCTTCAAAACGTTTGGTATAGCATACCTAATAACTCAAACATCGTTTCGATACAAGTTGTCTGGCGAAATGAGTTTTATGATCAGCTGCATACAACGGACGACAGTTTTGAGTATCTCATTCTCGACAGCTAACACCAAATACGCATACAGAAAGTTGCTGTGGCAAGACATAATTCTAATGGTGTTTTTAATTGTATTTTAGATGCATTCTTTTGGATGGCTTTTTCCTTGTAAACCTGGTGATATACACACCAATGCTGATTAAACTCCGTAAAGTGGCTTTCAGAAATCCAGTCACGTTTCAAGGACTGTATGGTTATCGACTGTGAAAGAACAACCGATATTTACCAATCAAGTCCGGTGAATAAGCCCAGCTTATCACGCATGCTGCACATCTGATTGAATTACACATTCCTTATCGGCTAAATGACTGGCCGACGCGAAAACAACTGAGCCGGCGGCAGCGAGCGATCGCCGGCCTGTCTGGGAGGGAGTATCCGCGTGTCTGAGTGGCGGTGGGGACGGAATTCCAGTGGCCTTAGTCAACGTGGCGCTCTTCCAGTGGGTCTCTCCAGTTCGGTCAGACACTCAGTCCAGCGACGGTCGCTAAACTCAGTGCCAGGAGCCCGACGCGGCTCAGTGACGACGGGGCCGGCGGGCGACGGCGACACGGATTTTTTGTCCCCTCTGCTCCCCTGACCGGCCGTGGGGAGGGGAGCGGGTCAGCCGGAGGGGCGGGCCGGGTATGTCCGCCGCCGACCGCCCCCGGTCGCCAGTAATACGCCGTGTTTCTCATTAGTGTCGGCGACAGGACGCCCCGTCGCTCGGCCGGCTGTTTGGGCCGCGCTGGGCCGCGCCGCGCGGCGCTGCGGGGACACGGCCGGCGGCGGCTGAGGCTGCGCCGTGCCCTGTTATTAGCCACCGCTTACAAAGGGTTCTGCCGGCCATTAATGCCCCAAGAATGCCGTCGCGTCGTTTTGTGTGCATTCCGCGCTGAGCGGAGAGCGTCAGGCGCTATTCGCGGCGCCCGCTGGCGGCCGGCTATAATCAAACTGTCCCGGCTGTTTACATTAATTCGGCGCCAATGTTCCGATTACAGTTATAATGAGTCGCAGTAGGACAGGTGGCGGCCGCCGCCGACCGCTCGCCGGCGTCACTGACGCCAAAATGGACGCCCGCGCGGCGCGCGCGTCTCCCCTAATCATCATGTTTAGGCCGGCGTTCATAAACAACGTTTACTTAAGCCTATGGAGTTACGGCGTGGCGCTTGATTGGATGGCTGCGTGCGTTTGGTCAGGTCAGCCCGGTCGCAGCTAAAGGGAAAGCAGCGCTCGGCTTGGAACAGCCATCGCCATGGGAAACAGTGGGAAGTGCTCCAGCCTCCAAGCTGCATCTCTAACAGAACAACGTTACCACCATTGGAGGAGGATGTGTGTGTGTGGGGGGGGGGGGGGGAGAGAGGGGGAGAGTCATAGGACGGAAGAGGGCTGGGAAGTTTGGTCGATCGTTTTGAATTTGTCATCCATTCTGCTAGCGTTCTTTGTCCATGAGCCATGTGCTCCGGATGGTAACTGTATTTAGTTACAACAATATTTGTATCCACTGTGCTGCAGGTAACACTCATTGAAGTGGACGCATGGGCAGATGAGACGCGAACATAATGTGATTCACGTTTCATGGCATATTTCTAAATTCAATGCGACGAACATGTGAGTAAATATGCTGTATAACGGCGATTCCTATTAAAGTAAGCCAAGTGTGCACTATCTGCATTCATTGTCACAATCGTAAACAGTGCGATAGCTTTTCATTGCCAGAATAAAGAATACCTGATCTCAAGAAAGAGTCATATCTTATACGAAGAAGTGGTTGGTAAAAGTCCTAACAGGTAAAGGACACACGGTACATGCTACCTACCTATCAGTTTACAACAATTGATAATTGAATACCCGTGTTTGACAATAAATGCAGTCGAAAAATTGAACATAAGTCAAGTTGTAATACAAGCAAATAAAAGATGGGCGACAATATCGATGAATGATGGATAATTTTACATATTTTTACCTGCTTGACCAATGTCATATTATGCCGGATTTCAAAGCTCTGATTGCAAAGGGTTGATTGGATCCAATGAAAAGCTAAGACAATGATACAATAATCTTAAACCACGTATGCTTCTCTCGACTCTCCGCACCTTTTGGGTTAAAATCACCTCCATTTCCGTCAGTAAAATATTTCGTTACACATGAATTCGTCTTAATTCGTTGTTTTTCCCGCAGATGATTTGCTTTCCCATTCCCACCAGTCAAACATCAACAACACGAATGACAAGCAAGTACAAAAGTGCATAATAAATTACGGAATATGAGAAGCAGGTCTAAAAAGTGACAAGGGTAGGTGGCATTTTTTTCTGTCATACGACAGCAGCACGCGAGGTGTGCCTTTGTGAGAAATTTGGAAATAAGCATTAAGCAATGTATAATTGCTCAATTAAAGTATCGCTTGACATGCCATCTATAAAGACCAAGTCTTGTCTCTGTTATAAGTACAGAAACAAACAAAATGAATGTAATTGTGCTCGCATACCTATAGATAATTTATCATCCACTGTATTATGCCATTTCAACTTTTGTATGTTGAATGAATACTACAGATTGTAACATGTTTTTTTGTCATTCCGTTCCGCTCGTTTAATTATGCATTAAATGCACCATTGTAAATGTCAATAGTCAATCACAGAATAAACTGATGGCTTCAAATTTAGCTGACATACATACAGATATGATATGTATTTACATGTATGCGCACGTATGCGTTATTATGCATATGTTTTACAATATCTCAATTCTGAGGACGTAGCACTTCCTACGCTACTTAGCGCTCTAAGGTCTGCGTTGTTATAAATATCCACAAAAGCAAGAAAGAAACGAAATTTCGGCCGCGCCTTGAAACGCCAAAGGTCTTAGGATGCTAAGCACCTGTGCACAGCGCAGATTTCCATAGGCGGCGGAACGGGGAGGGCACCGGGGCACCGTGCCCCCTTTGATTTTGGCATTTTGACATAAGCCCTATGGGCGTTGCATGGAAAGAATGGGACCAAAAGTCGGCAGTGCCCCCCCCCCCCTAATTGAAGGTGTTCCGCCGCTACTGCAGGTTTCCTAAAAGATACACAAATGTTGCAAACTTTAACACGTCTGTATTTCATTAACCACTTAAGTATTTTACAATCATTTGTCAACATATCTGCTCAAATGGTGCATTGTGTGGAAAAAGTGATGGGTACATTCCATATATGTGACAAGTCATAGAAGATTATGAATGGCTACTGGCCAAACAATGGGGGTGTCTCCTTGGTCCCTGACATTAGAGCTGATTAATGACACCAGCTCACTACCCTTGCGATACATAAACAAATGCACCCTCGCCCAAATGGCAACAACCGCAAATCAATGAACATATAAAACACATTTTACCTCAACAATTAACATTAATAACCATCGTTCTATAATGCCTTTGCCTCGAATAAGCGACAAACAGCTGACACAAATCGAGCAATGTAATTACCACGTTCTGAATAAACAATTAAATTTCTAAATAAAATAAATTTACTGCGCTTAAGCCACTTCCTCCTGCTTTCTCGCTTTTAGATCAATAGAGCAAGCTAGACCTCACCAGCCTACTTATAACGTGGAAGATGTCACATCATAGGCTCGGTGCTCAGCAAATAAAGATTCAAGATATACCTACACAC